CAGTGGGACAGGGATGCCGGCCGAGAGTCAGAGAGGTACCAGTGAGATGATACAGTGGGACAGGGATGCCGGCCGAGAGTCAGAGAGGTACCAGTGAGATGATACAGTGGGACAGGGATGCCGGCCGAGAGTCAGAGAGGTACCAGTGAGATGATACAGTGGGACAGGGATACCGGCCGAGAGTCAGAGAGGTACCAGTGAGATGATACAGTGGGACAGGGATGCCGGCCGAGAGTCAGAGAGGTACCAGTGAGATGATACAGTGGGACAGGGATGCCGGCCGAGAGTCAGAGAGGTACCAGTGAGATGATACAGTGGGACAGGGATGCCGGCCGAGAGTCAGGGAGGTACCAGTGAGATGATACAGTGGGACAGGGATGCCGGCCGAGAGTCAGGGAGGTACCAGTGAGATGATACAGTGGGACAGGGATGCCGGCCGAGAGTCAGAGAGGTACCAGTGAGATGATACAGTGGGACAGGGATGCCGGCCGAGAGTCAGAGAGGTACCAGTGAGATACAGTGGAACAAGCAATGAGCCTAGAAACCACTGAACAAGATGGGGAGTTAAAGGGGCTGCAGAATTCCTAATGGAAGGCTCTGTGTTAGCATTTAGGCATCTGTACTGGCCTGCCCTTAGGGTTCTGACAGGAGATACCTCAGCTGCAGCCACTAAGAGCACCTCCTGTGTGCATTCACTAGGTTTCCTTATAAAAGGCAGGCCTTGCCCACCTCCCATCCCCAGGGACCAGTCCATGCCCGTTTCTCTGCCCTTTTTCTCTGCCCTTCCCCTCACTAAACCTCCTCCGTGGGCCCTGTTGTATGATGTGACTCCTTCCTGCCGTTTTTAAAATACAACACTGTGCCTGCTGCTCAATCTCATAAGACCTTTTAGGTACAAACTGGCTGTTGGCTCCTATATTTTACTCTTAGGTTCAGGTACCATAGCAGCACCAAGCTTACTTTTACATCACTGGACCTGATTTTCAGAGGTTTTATGATTATGGCCTATGGTCTCTAGTCTTTGACTTTGTGTGTGTGTGTGTGTGTGTGTGTGTGTGTGTGTGTGTGTGTGTGAGAGAGAGAGAGAGAGAGAGAGAGAGAGAGAGAGAGAGAGAGAGAAGGACAGGGCTTCTTTGTGTAACAGTCTTGGCTGTCCTGGAACTTGTTTTGTAGACCAGGCTGGCCTTGAACTCAGAGATCCACCTGCCTCTGCCTACCAAGTGCTAGGATTGAAGGTGTGAGGAGCTATCAGCGCCTGGCTAGTGAACTCATTCTTATCATTAAGAAAAACAACAACAGCCGGGCGGTGTTGGCACACACCTTTAATCCCAGCACTTGGGAGGCAGAGGTAGGTGGATCTCTGTGAGTTCGAGGCCAGTCGGGTCTACAGAGAGAGATCCAGGGCAGGAACAAACTACTCAGAGAAACCCTGTCTCGAAAAACCAAAAAAAGAAAAAACAACAACAACAACAACAAAAGAACTCCCATTCAGTTGGGCGTGCTGACTCATGCCTTTAATCCCCGACTCAAGCAGGCAAATTTCTGAGTTTAAACCCAGCCTAATCTACAAAGGGAGTTCCAGGACAGCCAGAGATACATGAAGCAATCCTGTCCCCAACAAACAAACAAACAACCCCTCCCTTCCTAATTCCTCCCCCTCTGGCAACACCAAACTATTTCTCCCCACTTAAAAGGCTCTCCACCCCAGCAGCAGAGCTAATGTGTAGTCAGAGGGAATACAGGCTCTTTCCTAAGACCCCTGACTGAACCACATATATCCTCCTACAGACTTGAGAGAATGAGTGGTAAGTTCTTGTCATGAAAGAGAGAGAACCTGGGAAGCCCTTCTTGCAAGAGGTGAGGCTATAGGTTTTGGTACTATCCCTGGTCCTTGGCGGTAAAGGTTTGCAGGGTTTGGGGCCTAGGATTGAATTGCACTGGCAGGTGTGGCCAGGTGTGAGCAAAAGGGAAGACCAAGATAAGTATTCCTTTACCACAGCACCCATCCCTTTGCTTACTTACATGAGTTCAAAAATCTCTCCAATGAGCATGCATGTGAAGCCATTCTTCTGATGTAGATTATAAACGTGTAAGTGTTAAGAACAAATGGCCAGTAAGCACAGACACTTAAGAACACAAGACTTTGATGTCCTCACACTCCCAAGCTAAAGTCCTGGCTCTGTAACTTTCTGGAGTGTGATCTGTAACAAGTTACTTCTCTAAGCTTTGCCCATAGTGGCAAATTAATAGTAGCCATAATTACCTTTCAGGATTATTAATCTAGGAAAATGCATTCACAAAGAATTTAACACAGAATTGACAGAATCAAAAGACATTATTACCATTAACAATCCTATTAGGAAAGTTTCCTTATAAATTAACATCCTTAGAAAAGTTCTTAATTGCCAGGCGGTGGTGGCTCATGCCTTTAATCCCAGCACTTGGGAGGCAAAGCCAGGTGGATCTCTGTGAGCTGGAGGCTAGCCTGGTCTACAGAGCGAGATCCAGGACAGGCACCAAAACTACAGAGAAACCCTGTCTCAAAAAAACAAAAAAAAAAGAAAGGAAAGAAAAGTTCTTCATAAATGAACACAAGTGCATATAGTTCTCAGTAAATATGAGGGTTTTTTTTTTTTTTTGAGACAGGGTTTCTCTGTGTAGCTTTGCACCTTTCCTGGATCTTGCTCTGTGGACCAGGCTGGCCTTGAACTCACAAAGATCCACCTGCCTCTGCCTCCCAAGTGCTGGGATTAAAGGCGTGCACCACCACCGCCCGGCCTTTTTTTTTTTTTTTCCAAGGCTGGGGTTTCTCTGTGTAGCCTTGACTGTCTTGGAACTAATTTTGTAGACCAAGCTGGCCTTGAACTCATAGAGATCTACCTGCTTCTGCCTCCCAAGTGCGATTAAAGGCGTGTACCACCACCGCCTAGCTGTATCATTACTTTAAACAATCTTATTTCAGAATGAGTTTCATTTCCCCTTCCATGGACTGGAGTGGAACTTATCCCCATTTCCCATCAGGGACCTAGCTCAGAGGAAGGTTAAAAGGTCCTAGAGCTCCAACACAGAAACACAAAGGATATTCGAGAGAAGAAGAGGTCAAGGTTTTCGATGTGGTGCCAAGGTGCTGTGGACACAGGAGCAGAAACGTCAGATTCCTAAAGTCCCCTGCCACCCTGCCCCTTCAGGGTTCCTCCAGTAACTTTCACCCATGCCCCTGCTCTGGCTGTCATGTCCCTAAACTCACATTTGCTCCCCTCTGCCACGTGTACCAGCAGGTCCTCTTCCCCTGGGGGTGAATCGCTATAGGAGGCCTCTAGGCGCTGGTATTCAGTGTCAAACTGTGCCATCACCGCGGCCTCCTGTCCACCTTGTTAACCTGCAGTTGGGGAAGAAGAAAAGAACCTACATCAGATTCAGGCACTAGCTACGTGCTGTCCTGCCCTTGAGGGGGCCTTAATTCTGGTCATCCATTCCCAGAACCTTTATTGGGCGGTTACTGTGCCAGAATCTGACCCTTTGGTGTGGGGTGAACTGTTTCATTTTCTGTCCAATGAAGAGAAAGTTTCCTCCCCTGCCCCTCCTGGAAACCCTGATCTCTCCAGAGACTAACAGTTTGAAACATTTTTGTAAACAAATGGTGAAGATAAGCACATAACCCTACCAGCTCCATGGACAGTTTCTGCTCCACGCCAGTCCTGGATGCCCTGGTTGGACAGCTGCTGGAGGAAAAGGTGTCAGGCCTCAAAGAGTGGGGAGTTGGGACAGAAAGGAATCCAACTCTCCCACCCACCCAAGCCCCACTAAGAGGAAGGCAGAGAAACGGCAAGGGGGGAAGAGGCACCTTCCCTGTTGCGGCAGACCTCTCCCGGATGTTCTATGTAGGACCATTCATCTACTTCTAGGATACCCAGGAATAACTCAACTCTCTGGCCCTGTGGAGACTAAGTCAGTACAGGTCAAGAGTCTATACAGCCCTTCGGGACTGGTTTACCTTTGGTCCACCTCAACTTCAGAAACCAGATCTGCTTTTCAGAGTCCAGAAAACCCCAGTGAGAGTCTTCTCTTAAGATTTTTCTGGTTCCCTAGCATCAGAGACCCTTCTGCTTCCCTAGCATCAGAGACCTAGGCAGGCATGGCTTCTGGATGGGAAATTTCCAGTCTATGAAGACTCCAGATCCCAGTTGAATAAGTGGGTTCTCTAGGCGCCTAGAGCCAGGTGGGGTCAAGGGTATGGTATACTCCCAGTTAGTGAACACTCTGGGGACAGTGGATCTTGGTCCGCCCTGGTCCCAGAGGGAATCCCTCGGTTAGTGAAAGTCCTGTGCCTCAGGAAACACACTCACCTGGTTAGTGTAGACTCAGCCCCCATGGATCTCCCCAGGAAGGGCCTGTGCTCAGGGGTGTTTGCGGATGGTGAAAGGGTCGAGCCAGACCTATAGCTGGTATCCCTGATGGGCTGGGATGCCTCCCCAAACCCAGCCACTTAGACCTGAGCACAGCGCGCCCCAGGGTCGCCCGGCCCCAGGCCGGGGGCTAGGCTCCCAACAGCGGACAGCCCGGCGCGCGGCCCCGGCGCACGCGCGCTCCCCTGGCCGCGCGCGCCCTCTATCAAAACATTCTGGCTGCGCGCCCCCGGCCCGCCCGCGGCTCCCCTTCCCCCGTTACGCATCGCGAACTCACTTGGGGCTCTGTGGGCACCCCTGGCCAGCTTGGGCCTGGGTCTGAGGATTCCAGTTACCAGCCTCGCGTGTCACCGCAGGAACCGCGACCCGGGCGATTCCAGAAGCCCGGTCTGTTCTGCTGGGCTCGGCCAGACCAGGAGCGCTAGGCCCTCCGTCTGTCATTCACTGTCACCCGCAGCCAGTCTGGCCAATGAACAAAGTGGGTGGAGACATGGTGGCCAATTCTTGGCCCAGGGGGCAGGGCGAAAGGTTGGAGGCGGGTCTTGTAGAGCCGAGGACCAATAGTGAGCTCTACGTGGTGCAGGGCTGGGCTACCGGCGCCGCGGTGTGTCCCTTTCGCCGCTCCGTAGCCTCCAGATTGTGGTGTTGCAGAAATCCAGCTTTCGAACGGTAGACGTGCGTGCCGCTCGCCTCTCGGGTCATTAGTGGCGGCTTCTAAGGACGGGGACGAGGGACGAGGTTCAGTCGGTGTCGGCGCTAGTCGATCAGGTTACTAGCCTCCGACTGGTAACTGCTGGACACGATTTGGGTCTGGGTGCTCCTCATTTCATTTCTGTAAGACCCTCACGTATGTACCTGGAGACTCGGCAGTAGAATCTCGTCCTGGAGGGTTGTTTCTCCCCTCCGTTTCTGCTCCAGGAGCTGCTTCTGAGTTACTCTGCTTCAGCCATGTCGCCGGCTCCAGGTGCAGCCCTGGCTCCTGCCTCGGTCTCCCTGTTGGACCTCAGCGCGGAAGCTCCACTCGTTCGGGGCCTGAGCCTGGTGAGCCAAGCACCCGCGGAGGCTCTGGCCGGGGCGTCGCATGCTCCCTGTCCAGGTATCCGGGATGCTTTGGGGTGGACCTATGAGGAACGTCACAGGGTTCCGTGGACTCTGTTAACACGGAAGACTTTCACACTGTCATTTCCCAGCTTAGGACTCCAAACTGATTCTTTCTGTTGGACATATTCTCCCCCCCACCCCCACCCCCCAGTATCTTTCAACCTTGGGTGGTTTACAGCGCTGGCCCATGAATTGTCGCCAAATAAGTCTCTGGTTTTTATTACTCATCACGTTAATACCACTGCTTTTAAAAACACGGTTCCTAGGTCTATTTCTAATTGAAGTGGACTCTAGTCAGATCTAGTCCCTTGTGTTAAATACAGACTAATTTACTGATTTTATACGTTAGTCTTTGGCTGTGTTTTCTTGCACTTTTCTTAAGTTGTCTGTCCGCTGTAACTGGAACTGTAAGATATAAATTGGCATCCAGGAACTGGTTTTATATAGTTAAAAGTAATTTTAATCTGGGAGTCGTGGCACACACCTGTAATCCCAGCACTTAGGAAATTGAGGCAAGAAGGAGAAGTAGGGGTTCAAGAACAACCTGCACCATAGTGAGACCTTGTGTGTGGGGGAACAACACAGAAGAAAAAAAAATGTTTTAAGTGCTAGAGAATGTAGCTCAATAGTAGACCTGGGTTCTACCCCCCAGTACTGCGGAAGTAGTATTTTAGGGCCTACTAGGGAGGGAGCTGAAGTCCAGTTACTTTTAAGACACCTTGAAGTAAGGTTTTGCTTAGGTGTTAAGATGTGGTGCAAGACTGATTCTCCCTGGACTTGTTTTCCTGGGTGCGTGCCTGCTCATCCTCAGAGAGACCACTGTGTCCATCCACAAGTTCACTATTGGGGGCAAGGGGTGTAAGGGGTTGCCCGTTGCCCATGTCAATGTAGTTTTTTTGTTCTTGTCGTTTATTTGTTTTGCTTTTGGTTTGGTTTTCAGACAGGGTCTTACTACATAGCCTTGGATGGCCTGGAGCTCACTATGTAGAACAGGCTGACCCCTAACTCATTGAGATCTTTCTGCCTCTGCCTCCTGAGTGCACTGCCATGTCCGGCTTCAGTGAAGTTTGAGGTAGAGAGACAGGTGTTCTTCCAGAGTTAACTTTTACTGTGTATCTAAGATTGTGGAAAACATTGATTCAGGAAGCGTTTTCCTGATTGATGAAAAATGACTGAGTTTTGATCATTTACCCTTCCTTGCTCTAGGGTTCTTCAGGTGTGTTAGGTAGCACTTAATAGACTGGGGAGAAAAAGGGAGTGGGGTGCAACTCAGTGGAACAGAATATGCTTAGGGTGTGTGAGGCCTTAAAGCCCCAACACCAAAAAGAAAAGGATTTTTTTTTTTTGGTTTGGTTGGTTTTTTGTTTTGTTTTTCAAGAAAGGGTTTCTCTGTGTAGTTTTGGAGCCTGTCCTGGAACTCACTTTGTAGACCAGGCTGGCCTCATACTCGAAGACAATCCATTTGGATAATTAGATTGTAATATTTGTTAATTTTACATGTATCTTTTCAAAAGTATATTTATTGTACAGAACAGTTACCGTATCATTTATTTCATGATTGCCAGATTGTAAATTCTTGGAAGGCAAGGTCATGCCATCTTTTTCTTCTATATTATCCTTTTAATAGGTATTTGATATAGTTCTAGGTACTGTAAGTTCTCTGTAGACTTCCTACTTTCAATTACCCTTTTCTTCTGTTCAGGAGAGAGCACACTGTCAGGAAGAAAAGTATCCCCATGTTCTCTGGATATTTCAGAGAAATTATTTTGTTCAGCCTGTGACCAGATCTTCCAGAACCACCAGGAACAGGTAAAAGGGCAGGGTATAGGGCTAGCTATTAGCAGCAGAAGTGTCACGGTGGGTGGGATGAGGTACTTAAATTAATAAAGATCCATACTTTGTCTAATGCACTTGCCGCTGCCTGATTCCTAGAGTTCTGTGACTGGCTTTGCTTCCTGGATAAGGCCAAGGTAGAATGTAGTCCCACTCTGCCTCCCTTTTCTTTCACACCAGAGAGAGCATTATAAACTTGATTGGCATCGCTTTAACCTAAAACAACGTCTCAAGAACAAGCCTCTCTTGTCAGCTTCGGACTTTGAAAAGCAGAGCTCCACAGGTTAATGCTTGGTATGGGGAAGCCTGTATGGGAGCAGGGGGAGGGTGGAAAAGACACAGTGGGGTTTGAAGAAAGGTCAAAGGTGGCGTGTCAAACTTGCATGTCCCATATTTGTCACAGGAGATCTTTCCAGCATCTCGGGATCAGAAGACTCAGATTCCTCTAGTGAGGAGGACTTGCTGACGCTGGATGAGGGGAGGGCTGAGTTTGAAAAACCTAACCGACCCCGAGGATTCTACCCACATCGGGTCCTTTTCAAAAATGCCCAAGGCCAGTTTCTTTATGCCTATCGCTGTGTCCTAGGCCCTCACCAGGCAAGTAACAGTACAGGTTGTGTGATCAATCCCAGCTTTTATATATATACTCAGCCTGGATTTTCTTTAGACAATGCATGTCTCATTTCCTCCCTTCCTTTTGGGTTAGGCTATCATACCTGACAGCATAAGCTTGAATTGAAACTGGCCAGAATCTTGAAAGGGTCGACTGTAAAGGGATAAGTCTAAATTTTGAGTCTATCACTTCCATCTTCTATCTCTACCTCTCTGAGCCTCGAATATCCTTCCTTGTGGAATGGAAATGAGGCGAGGGTGGTTGTAATTAATGAGATAATGCAAGTGTAACACATGGTTTCTTGTTCTCAATGCATGCATCATGTGGAATGTTTCTGTTGCATCCGTCATATAGATTCCCCCAGAAAAAGCGGAGTTGCTGCTACAGAGCCTGCAAAGTGGAGGTCTCAGGCACTACGTGGTGCTCATGGCTGCGGCTGGGCATTTTGCTGGTGCCATTTTTCAAGGGTGAGAGGGTGCTGCATGGGGCTTAAGGATGGACCCCGTTAACCTGGGAGCACCAGTTGGTCTCGAGTACTGAGTGTGTGCCATCTACAGAAGAGAAGTGGTGACACACAAAACCTTTCACCGTTACACCGTGCGGGCCAAGAGGGGCACAGCCCAGGGGCTTCAGGATGCCCAGGGTAGGCCGTCACGTTCTGCTGGGGCCAACTTGAGGCGTTACAATGAAGCCATGCTGTATAAGGTGAGTTAGGCCTCACAGACCCTGTGATGGTCCTTTGATCTCTCAGTCTTTGTGGTTTTCTGGGTAGACAATAGAGTAGGGATCTCCAGGAATATTCTCTCATTCTTTCTCTCTTTCTAGCTGCCACTCCCTACATATGATCAGAGGGTCATTGTTTTGTTTGGAGATTTTAAAAAAAAGTAAGTGAAACATGCTAAGTGGAGTTACTCTCTTTAGGATGTTCGTGACCTGCTAGCAGGGCCAACCTGGGCTAAAGCACTGGGGGAGGCAGAAATAATACTGCTACGTGCCCCACGCTCTGGCCGGTCCTTGTTCTTTGGAGGCCAGGGGGCACCCTTGCAAAAGGATGATTCCCGACTTTGGGATATCCCCCTCACCACCCGAAGACCCACTTTTGGAGAGCTTCAGCGTGTGCTTCATAAGCTGACAACTTTGCAGGTGTATGGTGAGCTATTCTAGGCCGTGGGACCTCATACGCAGACCTATATATACCGTGGGGTTTTCTAGCCTGTGGACTGCAGCCCAGTTGACCTGGGCTGGCTTCTCCACACTTAAGTTTGAGAAAGACTTTTTTGTTTCGTGGCAGATGAAGACCCTCGAGAACTGGTCAGATTTTATTCACCTGAGAAACACTGGAAGCCAGTGAGAGAGGAGAGGAAAAAGGCTACTGATAAAGAAAAAACAAAGGTCCCCAGTGATGGAAATAAGGCACTTGGGCAGGATGAAGAATCACTCAAACAAGGTTTGAGCACCATCTGGCAATTTTCAAATACATCTACATGTCTGCTTTGGAAATGCAGTGACCAGTTCTCATAACTGACCCACCTACCAGTTGATAGGTGAGCCCTTCAGCCTTACCCACACCCATCCACTCATCCCTGCCAGCATCTGTTCATGAAATTAAGGTATGTTTTGAGACAGTCTCACTTTAGCCCAGACTGGTCTAGAACTCACTGTGTCGTCCACACTGGCCTTGAAATCATGGTGATCTTTCTGCCTCAGCCTCCCAAATGCTAGATTACACTCCTGAGCCACCACACCAAGCTGCTTCCTTATTGAGGCAGGGTCTTTGTTGTCTAGCCCAGGCTGGCCTGGAGCTCTCTATGTAGCCCAGGCTGATCTTGGACTCACTGTCCTTCTGCCTCCAGTTTCCAAATGCTGGGATTATATATAGGCATGCACTAAGACATGTTTAGTGACCTTGCCAAATCTTATTACTGCTCACAGATTGATTCCTGGTACTTAGCATGGAGGGAATGTGTTGTTTGGGTGATTAGATGCTGTGCTTTGGGCTAAGGGTTGCTTTCCTCTATTGTTTTTTCTTTTCTTTTCTTTTTCTTTTTTGGTTTTTCGTGACAGGGTTTCTCTGTATAGTTTTGGTGCCTGTCCTGGATCTCACTCTGTAGACCAGGCTGGCCTCGAACTCACAGAGATCCGCCTGCCTCTGCCTCCCGAGTGCTAGGACTAAGTCGTGCACCACCACGATGGTGCTTTCTTCTACTTTGTACTGTCCTAATGCTGTTCACCGGGAGAGTCCAGGGACAGAACAAAACCACTTCATTTCAGGATGATCTGAGTATCTTTTTATAAATGTAAACCCATCTGAGGACGCCCACATCCTTCCACCCTCTCCCTGTTCTGTAGATAGATCTAACATCATGTTTTCCCCAGGTTCAGAGTCTCAGGAAGAAGATGGCTCCCAAGTAGAGTTGGAGCTAGTAGAACTGACACTGGGGACCCTGGATCTTCGTGAATTTGAGGTGTTGCCCAAGCGGAGGAGGAGGAAAAAGAAGAAGGAGAGAAGTCAAGACCAGCAGTGTGGGACACACGTGACTCTTCTTCAGCAGTCTCAAGATGAGCCCCTCTCACAGGCAGACCAAGTGGTTACAGCCAAAGGCCCTGATCAGCCAGAGCTCTGGGACATGCTTCTGTCTGCTTGCCGAGCTGGGGAAGTTGAGGTGCTAAAGCTCCAGCTAGCTACTGGGCCTGTCGACCCTGGAGTTAGGTCCCTACTCAATGCCCCTTTGGGCTCTGGTGGCTTTACTCTCCTGCATGCAGCAGCCGCAGCTGGAAGAGGCTTAGTAGTTCGTCTTCTGTTGGAGGCAGGTGCTGACCCCACTGTGCAGTAAGTATATCTCCATCCTGAGCCGGTTTAGGATTAAGAGCATAATGTGGTGGGAGCTCCTGTTGGCACTTGGTACTGTTCCCTTGGGTGATGTCAGGAAAAGCAGGAGGCAAGCTGAACTCGGTTTTGGGTTTTTGTCCTTAGGGACTCTAGGGCTCGGCCACCTTATACCGTAGCAGCTGACAAATCCACACGGAATGAATTCCGAAGGTTCATGGAGAAGAATCTTGATGCCTATGATTACAACAAGGCTCGGGTGAGCTGGAAAAGGAGCGACAGAGTGGGAGGGCATCGGATCCTCACTGGGTCCTTACAGTTTTACAGTATCTTTGGGAAATCCTCCAGGTGCCAGGGCCACTGACTCAAGAAATGGAGGCCCGCCAGGCTGCAAGGAAGAAGGAGCAGAAGGCGGCCCGCCGGCAGCGGGAGCAGCGGCAGCAGAAGCAGAGGGAGCAGGAAGAGCAGGAGCAGGAAGAGCAGCGGCGATTTGCTGCCCTCAGTGACCGAGAGAAGGTGAGGCCATACCCTTCCCTCTCCGGAGTGAGCTGTCATCTCCTGCGTGTGCTCCTCACCCCTACGGACTCTTCTTTAACATCGATTCTGGTTTCCAGAGAGCTCTGGCTGCGGAACGCCGACTCGCTGCCCAGTTGGGAGCCCCTAGCCCTCCAGTTCCTGATTCTGTGGTTGTCAATGCTGGGTACGGGGGCCAGGGAATGAAAGGGTGGGCTCCTGTGTCGTAGGGGGCACTTGGGGGACGGGGAATGAGTGCCTTCGTGGTGTTGAGAAGGCTCGCAGAGGGGATTTGAGGTTCTCTGGGATCTTTAAGGGCTGGGCAAAGCTGAGATGGGGTATCTGTGCAGTCATTTTTCTCCCTTTTTTTAGACGCTGTTGGAGTTGTGGCATGTCCCTCCAAGGCCTCACTCCCTTTCACTACCTCGACTTCTCTTTCTGCTCCACACGTTGCCTCCGAGACCATCGAAGTCAGGCAGGGAGGCCTTCTTCCTGATTTCTTATACCACCTGGGGCCAACTCTAGGCCCTGAGAGGACACATTCAGACCTAGAGTTTCTCTTCCTCCTCATGAAGCTCGAGATTATGTGGAAGATGGGGGTGAAGGACACTCAGGAACAAGGGCAAAGACAGGGCCACAGAGGTGTGTGGAGCCAGTACTGTCTTTGGAATTTTAATCACAATAAAGTTTGGCAAGAAAACTGTATCTGTACTTACATTCAGAGGGATTGTAGCCTTTGATTCTTTATGGTCACTGTGGCCAGCACCAAAGGCTCCTGCCCTGTGCCCAGATTCAAGGGTCTTCTTTCTTTCAGTGCCCACTTAACTCCATTGGTTCATATGAACCTTGTGTTTCTGGGAGAAAATAGGCATATCCCCAGTGCAGAGTGCTATTGAGGATATGTGTATCCAGAAATTGGATTTGGGGCTCCTGAGGCACGTTTTCTAGCTCCAGCAGTGTGATTTTGTTGATGGATCTACCAAACAGCAGAAGTCTTGGCACATATAGGGTCTGTTGTGGACCCCGGTTTGTCCAGTACCGGCCCAAGTTAAACCCATTGATCCATACTTGGCCCTGGGGGTGGGGATGGAGTGGAAAAACAAAGGGTCAGCTCTCCACGGGCTAGAACTGCCCCCTTTCAGGCTCTAATCCGATGAGTAATTTCTATTCCCAGTTTGTTTTTCTTGTCATGTGCCCCCCACACTTCAGCTACCACCGTTAGCAATACCTTCGTCCATCCGGGCAGATAGAGAAACGTGTCCCCAAGTCTGCCTAACACTGTAAATGTGGTGGAGTAGAAGGCAGGGCCTGAGGCAGGCGGTGGCTGAGCTCTCTTCATCAGCTGCAGGGGGAACCACCACCTGACAAGCTTATCGACTTTGAGAGGGAACATCATCCACTCGGTGAGGATTGTCTGTCCCAAAAGCGGTGGTTCTAACAGGCCCTGTGGGGAAGCAAATGAGAAGCCATTCACTGCATCCACACAAGGGCCCACACTATCCCTAATCAAGCCCTGGAATGTAACTGGCCATGTCCATGTATTCAAGCACTATTCCTCTGCCTAAGCCTAGGGACGGAGTTCTTCCACTAGGCCCTGTTCTCCAAGAGAGGTGGTCAGTCCTGGGGAAGAATAGGCAAAACCAGCTTACCTTGAAGTCACTGTGGTTAGACCCAAAACTGAGCCTCCCCATGTTCTCTAGCAAAATATCCAGCTTGGCCCCTACTTTCCCAGTCAAATATAGTTCATTTTTCAAATTCCGTTCCAGAACACCCATCAGTTCCTATGGATAAGAGACAGGTTCTAGTAAAGCAAACACCCAGTACTCAGTTCTTGGCCCCTACACAGTGAATCACATTAGAAGACTTGATTTGGAAGAGAATGGGATCATCTTGTTGGTTATCTACCATTCTTCTGGTGCTCTGCTTTCTCGAGACAGGGTCTCTATGTAGTCCAGACTGCCAAAACGCCCTGTATAGCCCATGCTGTGACTCCCCTGCTGCAGCCTACTGAGTGCTGGGAATGCAGGCAGGTATGCCCCACCACATCCCTGGTTAAAAAACTATCCTTAACCACGTTCTCCCTCATCCCAGCGTATAACCTGAACCTCTATCCATGTGGGCAAACAGGTGGGAAAGGGTCAGAGATGGGGAAACTGTAAAGCTATAGGGTTTGGGGGTAAGGAAAGAAACTGAGATTATAAATTGGTTGGGAATTAGGTTCTTACCCCATCCACCATCACATAGGCACGGTCATGAATTCCATTATTTGGCACCCAGAATAGTGTTGGTTTAAAAATAGTGTGAGTCAGATAGGTCCGGTACAGCATAAAGCCGTGATCCTAGATACAGAAGAATGGGCTACTTAAGATGAGCTGGTGATAAGGACGGGCACTGTGGGAACATTAGTGACTAGAGGAACTTTTGGCTGTAGCTGTTGAAGGAGTCTGCCACTCCCGTCAGATGTGAGTTTATGCCTTACCTGCTTGACAGCCTCAAAGGTCAATGGCAAAACTGAACGGATGGGGCCGTGGGGGCAGAGAAAGTCTAGGAAAGACAGCAAATTCCCATCCTGTGAGGACAAAGAGCAACCAAACTGCTAAGTGTCTGAATCGAGGGCTGCTCAGGGTGAATGATTCAGAAAACATTGGTATAAGATCAGGAAAGAGGAGAAGAAACTTACCAGGCTCAAAGTCAGAGGTCCAAGCTTCATCTTGGGGCTGGGGGGAGGTAAAGGTCCCAAGGGAATTTCCTGGAACTGAGCCCAAATTCTCTCAGTAGTCATAGGAAAAGCAAAATAATCCAAGGCCCTAAAAGAAGGTTCTTGACCTGGAACCCAGGGATGGGCTGCAGGAAGCCATGAAGACCCTATAATTTTTCACATGTGTATAGCTCCCCAGATGGTCCTATGTGAGTGGGAAATACTTCATGAAACGCTAAGAGGGCTCTGTTACCCAGACAAGCACCACTAGTTTGTAGGGTTCTTTAACAATATGGAAACTCTCCCTTCTCCCCAATTAATAAAAGGGCACCTTGCTGATGACATTTCGAAGTGCAAAAAGCTTAGGTGTGGGATCCCCTGCTTCAGATATGGGTGCATCATAGTCGTAGCTGGTAGTAATTGGAAGAAAGTGTCCCTTCTCGTCAGCACCTGGGTTAAAGTAATTTAATTAATTCAACATCGTCTTAAGTGATAAGCACTAGGCAAAGAGCTTTGTGCAGAAAATCTTGCGATTAGGGGGGACAGTGGTAGCCATACACAGCTTCTAGACATCCTAATCTGTGCAGTCCAAGATTTTAATTCCTTATTACCTCCCTGCTCCCACCACAGGGGCAGCACTCACCATTCCAGTATCCAAAGTTAGTCCCTCCATGGAACATGTACCTAAAGTGGGGGTGGGTGGGAGAAAGGGTAAAATCTGACCTATGGAACCTTAACTTTAAACTCCAACCCCCAGGAACATAAGTGTGTCCTCAGTTACATGTTCACACTGGCTCCCAACTCGAGCATTTTTTCTAGTCCTTGGGCTATAGAGATACTGGACCGGGTGGAGTGATTCTGGCCCCAGTAATCCAGCCAGCCTGTATAGTACTCAGAGTTCACCTAGAGAGAGAAGTGAAAGAAGTCATGGTGAGGAGGGAAGAAAGCTGCTCCCATTCCAGCCAGATTATTAATTTTTATTCCCCTTCCCGATAGCCCCTCACCAGTGGCCCGTGGGGTTCATAACTCCGAAGCAGGGCAAAGAGTTTGGTCATGTTGTCAGCTGCAAAAAGAAACAAGGGTAAAGAACACATATCACAGAGGAGGTGCCCAGACTCCACTCCCAAGCCTTGTTTAGGAGACCTGGGCCAAAATCTATAGTGGTATAGAGTCCTGGGAGGGAACCACATCTGAGTCCTTGAGGCCCATCTGTGGTGAAGAGCAAGATCTCGTCTCCTAGCAATGCCCGGAAGAGGCCAGCCAAGTGTCTCATGTACTTGAAGTCACAGGCCTTGTAGCTACCGTACTCATTCTCCACCTACCAGGGAAAAGTAAAGAGGGTCCCGCTGTGAGGCAAGGGAGGTCAAGGACACCTGGACCTACTTCTCTTGCCCAGCCCACTTCCCATTCATACCTGAATGCTAATGATGTTGCCCCCATTGTGGTAGAGAAATGGATATATCTTGGGCAGCAAGACCTGGAACCAGGAGTCCACAGCAGCAAGGAAGTCTAAAGGAAGGAGCAGTGTGCTCTGCTCATTAGGGGTCACTGCCTTCACAGCCCCCCTCCCCAGCATTCTGGACAGTCTCCTCAGTGCCACACTCTAGGCTGTAGCCTCCTTTCCCTGGCTCCCAACTAAATCTAGAGAGCAGTGACTCTTTCTGAATTTTATTATTTTTATTTCTTTTTTTATATGTTTGAATTTGTTGCCTGCATGTTATGTCTTTGTACCATGTGCCTTGGTAACTGCAGAGGAGGCCAGAAGAGGGCATCGGATCCTCTGGAACTGGAGTTACAGATGGTTATGAGCCACCACATGGGTGCTGGAAATCAAACCTGGCTGCTCCAGAAGTCAGTGCTCTGATGTGCCGAGCCCCCTCTCCAGTCTCAGCAGCAGTGACTCTCAGAGGAAACTCTAGGAGTGCAGGAAACTAAACTGTTTCCTAAGACTCCATGTAAGAAAAAAAGGCTAACCACATAACATGGAGCTATTATGTAGTCAACTTACACCTAAGAGTACTGTGAAATTTCACAGAAAAGTAGTGTTTGACTTGGATGGACTCTTATTTAATGAACAGTCCATGTGAATTCATGCCTTAAATTCTCAACTCTTATTTATTACTTTTTTGTTTTGTTTTGTTTTGTTTTGTTTGTTTTTTCGAGACAGGGTCTCTCTGTGTAGTTTTGCGCCTGTCCTGGAACTCACTTGGTAGCCCAGGCTGGCCTCAACTCCCAGAGATCCGCCTGGCTCTGCCTCCCGAGTGCTGGGATTAAAGGCGTGAGCCACCACCGCCCGGCCCTTATTTATTACTTTTATGATTCCCCCTCAATGCCATCATGCATGTTATTTCTTCTTCCTGACACTTTTTCTCCCATCCCCCTTTCTCTAGTTGATGTTAATTTATGCCTCCATTCTTTATGCTCGGATTTCAAAATTGCATTTATTTATTTATTTGTATATGTGTGTGTGTATATATACATATATATGTGTATATATATATATATATATATATATATATGCTATTATGACAGCTGAGGGGTGGTTTGGACTAGCAGATAGTGGTAGGGGTAACCAGAAGTAGTTAGTTAAACTCAATGTTGTTGAGAGTAACACTGACATGAGTGTGTGTGTGTGAATAAATGTATGTGCTGTGGTGACATATGAGTGAAAGTCAACCTTCAGGAGTCAGTTTTCTCCTTCCACCACTTGGGTCCAAAGTGTCAAACTCTGGTCATCAGGCTTGGTGACAGACATCTTTACTTATGCCTTCCTTAATTTTTTTAAACAGGGTCTTCCTATGTAGCACGGACTGTCTTGAAATTCACTATATAAATCAGAATGGCCTGGAACTCACAGAGATCTGCCTGCTTCTGCCTCCTGAGCATTGGTACCACCACCGCCTGACTTAAAAGAAGTTTTTATCAACGTTCATTGTGTGTGTGTGTGTGTGTGTGTGTGTGTGTGTGTGTGTGCGCGCGCGCACTCAAGTCACAGCATGCTTGTTGAGGTCAAAGGACAACTTGCAGGAGTTGGTTCTCTCCCTTCACCACACGAGTCCAAGGGACTCAAACTCAGGCTGGCAGGGTTGGAAGTGACAAGTACCTTTATCTGTTGACCCACCTCATAAGGACTATTTTTTAATTCTTTTTTTGTTTGAAAAAAGGTCTCACAAAGTAGCCCTAACTGGCCTCGAACTTCCTCTGAGGACCAGGCTGGCCTTGAGCTCACAGAGACCTGCCTGCCTCTGCCACTTAAGTGCTGGGATTAAAGACATGTGCTGGATTAAAGACATGTGCTGCCATGCCCAGCCCATTCTTTAAAATTCATTTAATTATTTTTCTTTCTTTTTGTATATGGTACTGTATTTGCATGTACACGTGCATGCCAGAAGAGGGCATGGGAACCCATTATAAATGGCTGTCAGCCACCATGTGGTTTCTGGGAATTGAACTCAGGACCTCTGGAAGTGCTGCCAATGCTCTTAACTGCTGAGCCATCTCTCCAGCCCCTAATTATTTTTCTTTTTATGTTTTACATAAAGGCGGTCCATCCAAGCGCATATGAAACCACATTTATTCATTGAACAAATATTTATGGGTGCTGACTATGCTTCAAGCACTGTTCTGGGTATATAGAAGGGAAGAAAACAGAAAAAAAAGTCTCTGGCTTATGGATTCTCTTTCTAGGAGTGGAGGCAGACGAACACATGAGAAACTACAAGGCAGGAAAGGAGGCCTATGATAGTTCAGTACAGGATGCTCACAATTTAGAAGGTGATTGCTGCAGAGGTGCTGAGCGAACACCACATGCAAAGGCCTTGGGACCTGAGGCTGGTACATGTGGAGAATAGCGATGAGAGCAGTGTGGCTGGGGCAAGTGAACAAGGCAGCGGGGCAGGTACCAGGGTGACAGGCCTAGGGCCCAGGAGACTGGTCCATATTCTAAATGACAGGAGCACATGTTAGGGAGGTTAAGTAGCACTATGATATGACTTGAGATGTATGTTTCCACCATTTCCACAGAAGTTCACTGGCTGTGATACTAAGAACAGACTACACGGGAAGGAGAATAAACCAGGAAGAGCAACGAGGATGCAATTAAGATGCCAGCGAGGGGAGGCTGGGGCCAGCCAGTGGCAGCAGAAGTGACCGGAAATAATGAAATTCAATGTTGTTGAGAGTCATCCTGACAAGATTTTTGTGATGGACTGAATGCAGGGTGACAGGAAAGAGTGTGAAGGCAGGAGAGGTGTGAAGGGTTACACCACAGTGTGTAGAGTGCTGGGGTGGAAGATGGAGTGCCACTGGCTGAGATGGGGAGATTCTAGGGACAAATAAGTAGCTGGTTTGAAAAGCCCATTCCAGAAGCTTAGTTTCAGCTCCATCCCTGACCTTTTATTTGCCTATCTAGAGAAGCAACACAGAGGTTTAGTGTGTGTAGAGAAGTCACGGGAAAGGTCCTAGGAGAGAAGGGCATATTGGGAGTCATTAGATACTTCACAGGTTAATTCTATCACACAAATGGATGGGATTACCTAAAGAATGAAATTAGAAAAGAGATATATCCAAGGACTTCGTCCTGGGATAGTCTAGCACTTAGAGGAAAGGGAAATGGAGGAACAGACTGAGCCTGTAGAGGATGGTCTTGAACTCCTGATCCTCCTGTCTCTATCTTGTAAGCGATGGGATTGGAGGTGTAAATCACATGCCTGCTATGCACCACACAAGAGTAAAAGTTTTATTTTGCCCAGGGACTAGGTCTCTCAGTTCCCAGTTTCTAGCACTCTGCTAGACATGAAGGAAAGAATAAATGTATGACCTCCAAGTGAAGGATGGTCTCTTGTTCAGGCACTCAAATCTTTTGTCTCAACTCACCTGGATCTGAGGATCTCAGATGAATATTAGGTTTTCGAAGCAGCCAAGATGGGAGACCTCCCTTGAGAAAAACATAAGGCAACACATAAGCATACAGGATTTTTGTTTTGTTTTGAGAGAGGGGTTCACTGAAGCCTAGGCTAGCCTCAAACTCAAACAGCAGTCTTCCTGTCTCAGCCTCCTAAGTGCTGGGATTACAGGATAAGCTACCTTGTGAGCTACAGATAGTTTTGTTTTGGGGTGCAGTGGGGGAGGTAAGAAGGGAGGGAGTTGAGTGTAAGTGCTGGAAATGGGCAGATAGTAGTATTTGAAACCCCGCAAGAACTTCGCCTTCCGTCCTGCCCTTCTTCAACTAACTCACCATCTCCCACTCTGCACAGATGTAAGGTCCTGGTCTCAGTATGACCAACAGGTTCGCTCTAGCGGCCTCATTCAAAAAAGCAATGAGATCCCGGCTGCCGTTAAAGTTATAGACCCCAGGCTCTGGCTCATGGTAGTTCCAGGGCACGTAACTGAGAAAGGAAGATGTTAACAGGTCTCAGAGGTAACTAGGGGACTCAGGACTTGCGGAGAGAGAAGCAGCTGGAAGGAGGTTCTGGGCCACCCTTTCCCACCCTTGCCTGAGGAGTCCTGGAGCTCCAACCCTTTTCAAATCCTGTCTAGTTTTCCTGTTCCCCGTTCTAAGGAAGAGTAAACGTCGCTTCCACCAAGCTCTCCAGAGCACTTCTTACAACTGTACAGCGTTGAGGCCGCTCATTTGCATCTTGAGAAGCCGGTCGGCCCAAAGTACCGGCGGGACGCGAAAGTAGTGCAGGCTGCCAGAAATATAGCGGAACGGGGCCCCGTTTAGGAGGAATCTGTCATGTTGCCGATCCACGACGAACGAGCGAGCTTCTACCTGCAAGGGAGAAGCCTGGCTCAGCAGAGGTCTGGCGCGAGGGTCAGTGTCTGCCAAGGGCTTCACAGATTGAACTGACCCTGTCGGTGGTCGACCATCTCTCCTCCGCCGGTTCCGTTTCCCTTTCCCCACACCCAGCCAGGCAGTTCGACCCTCTCAGCTTACCTGGGCCAGCAGCAGGGGCAGCAGCAGCAACAGCAGCATCACAAGCTTCAGCGGCAGGGAAGGCAGGTCAGGAGGCATCTTCACAGCCACGGCACTTACAGGGTTCTTCTGCTCTGTGAGGGCTGTCCCACCCGTCACGTGTCGGATTCCTGGGAGGGAACCTCAGCAAGCAAAGGGGCGGGGACCACCTCAAGTTTTCAGGCAGTTAACCCGGACTTTGCCTTTTGCCTGCAGCCACCCACCATCCACTAGTTTGTTAAATCCTCTACATCTTGCTACTCAAAGTGCTGTTCACGGATCAGCTTCATCAGCATCATCTGGGAACTTGTTAGAAATGCAGAATCCCGGGTCTTACCCCCGACCTATAGAATCAGAATCTGCATTTTGTTTTGTTTTGTTTTTCGAGACAGGGTTTCTCTGTGTAGCTTTGGTGCCTTTCCTGGAGCTCGCGCTGTAGACCAGGCTGGCCTCGAACTCACAGAGATCCACCTGCCTCTGCCTCCTGAGTGCTGGGACTAAAGGCATGCGCCACCACTGCCCGGCCAGAATCTGCATTTTAATAAGGTGTCCTGCTCTTCTACACTGAACTCTCTGAGGGCTAGAAGGGCGTCTTGAATCTTCATGACTAGCAAAGTATTTGGCACATATCAAGTTAAATCTATATGAGTGGCAACAGAACCAAGGGCTAAAATAGGTTCAGAAACAGTGAAAAACATAGAAAATCTTCATAGTGATCACAACTATGGAAAGGGGAAACTGAGTTACAAGGAGTCTGTTTGGCCATTCTTTTTTTTTTTTTTTTTTTTTTTTTTGGAGGTGCACCCCTTTCCAATATATCTGCCTGTCTAGGCAAGAGATGTGAAAAAACATAGTGCAAAGCTTGGAAATCCAATTTTCCAGTTCGCCTGCCTTCACAGCTGTGACGAATCAGGGTAGAAAATACTATTTCTGTTTATCGACACACATTGAAGGCTATGTGTCAGATAATGTACGAAAGACATTTCATTTAATCTTGAAAAAACCCCATGAAATAATTATCATTCTCATCTTACACACAAGGAAAATGAATTAAGAAGTGGCTGTCCAAAGCACAATCAGTTCACTAGGGCTGGGATTGGAACTAGTCAGTTTGGCCTCACAATTCACAACGCTTACTTAGCCCTAGGTACTACTACTGTCTTACAGCTGGGGAAAGTGAGGTTCTGAGAGGCTAAATCACTTCCTGGAGGTGACACAGCTAGGAGACTGTTAGGACCAGATTTAGAAACTGTGGCACGCTGGTTCAGAGGCGCACTCCGACCCTCGCTAAGGCAATGGAACACAGGCCAGAGGCCTGAAAGTGTTCTGGGATCAGACCTCCGGGCATCTAAGGGCCAGCACCCATCCCTCCCTGGATCCTCCTCCAAGTTAGGCTGTGGTGGGCCACTTTCGGACTCCAGCGCGCGGGGGAGGTATGAGGCCTCCTACCTCCGACATTGGGGGACGGAGGTCCTAGAGGCCTCGGGCAGAGCCCGGCTTTGCTCCCCTTTGGTACAAATCCCTGCGTCTTGACCCTTCCTGAAGGCCAAGTGGGAACCCTCAGGGAGATACAGAAACCATCCCACCCTCCGGGTCTAGCCGGGCCCCCGCCTCTCACTTCCGGGTCCCCACATCCTCTGGCAGCCTCTTGTTGCTAGGATACGGCGGGCCGTTACTTCGACGCGGACTGATGATGTCACCGCGGCTTCCGGTCCCTGGCCCTTTGCTCAGGCCCGAGCCAGGTCAGTGGGGAGCCTGTACTTTGCAGACCCTGGGCTCGGTCCCGGGCGGCGGAGGGTGGGCTCAGCCAGAGGTGGGCTCGAGTCCCGCACCTCCTGCCCAGCCACCCCATGCCCGACGGGCGTGAGAGCGGGACCTGGCGGAAGGTGTGCCGGGGTGGAAGGAAGCGGCCTGGTAAGACGCAGCATGGCTTGACGCTTTGAAGCGCCAGAACTCAGCCGTCTTAGCGCTGGAGTCGCCGGGGTCTGTTTTCTTTAGACGTGAATCTGGGTTCCCGGAGCTGGACCTGAGCTCTCCGTGTTGGTACCTCAGTGGCTCTCAGGATTGTTCTTGACCCTCCACCTGCTGTTTTCATTCCAGCATGCTCCGCGGGGGCCCCAGCCCATCGCCTGGAAGAGCCCGCTCTCCCTGGAAGATAGACCATCCCTGAAGAGGATGACTGAGACATTATGGGCCACGCGCTGTGTGTCTGCTCCCGGGGAACTGTCATCATTGACAATAAGCGTTACCTCTTCATCCATAAACTGGGGGAGGGGTGAGTGTTTGGAAGTCACTTAGCTAGTCCCAGGTCATTTAAGGACAATGGTCAGCACATGATAGAAACGCCAGAGTGTTAGCCTTAGATTCTTCCTCACCCGACTTAGCTGAATGGGTCAAGAAAGTGGAATCTGGACCCTGGCCTCCTGGATCCACCTTGTGTGACCTTAAGTCAACTGTGGCTTCTTCATCTGATTAATGGAGATGATTATAATGTCTCACTGAGGGGCTTGTGAGAACTGAGATAGTATGTTTATTAAAACATGTCACCCAGTGCCTGGCTCATAAGCACTTGACAAATGTTGGTTGCTCCTTGATATTAATTGAACATCTTGTGCTCAGACCATAGAACCTCGGTAATTTCTGTGTCCCTGCTCACGAGGAGCTCAAGCCCTAAATCTTGAAACTGTATGAGAGCCACATCCTGGGAGGGTTTCTACTCCATGTGAGAGGCACCCCTCCCTAAGGGAATTCCTCTGGGTCCAAGCCATGTGGGAGATGACCATGGTCCTTCACTGACCCCTTTGGCCCACAGTGGGTTCAGCTATGTGGACCTAGTGGAGGGGTTACATGATGGACACTTCTACGCCCTGAAGCGAATCCTGTGTCATGAGCAGCAGGACCAGGAGGAGGCCCAGCGAGAGGCGGACATGCACCGCCTCTTCCAGCATCCCAACATCCTTCGCCTCATGGCTTACTGTCTGAAAGAACGAGGTGCTAAGCATGAAGCCTGGCTGCTACTACCCTTTTTCAAGGTCAGAAAGGCTGCTGCCTACAGAGGGGATTGTAACAGATTGCACAGCCCTGCCCAGGGCTCTGTGGGTAGTCAAACATAAACGTGCTGGGAACACATGTTTGTTCCTGGTTTGGGCCATTTAAATTTGGGGCTTAGAGAACCGTTTGGTCCCATATGAATTCGACACACAAAGCCCCAGATGATCAGCAACAGTGTATGTGGTAAAAGGTTGACAGACTTTGACACAGAATAAAAGGGAGTCCCGGGTAGTAGAGACTTCAAAAGTATCTCAAACTAGGACAATTTGTGTTGTAGAGAGGTACACTGTGGAATGAGATAGAAAGGCTGAAGGACCAAGGCAACTTCCTGACTGAAGACCAAATCCTTCCAGTGTTGCTGGGTATCTGCAGAGGCCTTGAGGCTATTCATGCCAAAGGTTATGCACACAGGTCAGTGGGAGGGCCCTATGCGCTTACTGGCACCGAGTGGGAAGAGCTGTCCCAAGAGAACTGGGGCGTCCCTGTTCTTTTCCCATGGTGCTCCCTAGGATCCCAGCTTGCCGGTCCAGGATGCCCTTGGGTCATTGTCACTTCCCTCCAGGGACCTGAAGCCCACCAATATTTTGCTTGGTGATGAGGGGCAGCCAGTTTTAATGGACTTGGGTTCTATGAGTCAAGCATGTATCCAGGTGGAGGGCTCCCGCCAGGCCCTGGCTCTACAGGTAAGAGAGTCTCCAAGTTCCTCTGGCCATCTCCTCCCCATCCCCATCTCATTCTGATGCATGTACCAGTTTGGTCACATGATCCGGCTTGTGCTCCACTTTTGCGCTCTGGGGACACTTTTCCAGGACTGGGCGGCCCAGCGGTGCACCATCTCCTACCGGGCACCTGAGCTTTTCTCTGTGCAGAGCCACTGTGTCATCGATGAGCGGACTGATGTCTGGGTGAGGAGCATGTGGGTGGGAACCTGGGTGGAGAAGGGTGTGGCTCTGTAGCTACTATGGAATAGAGGGAAGGAGACCTTTGGTTGCTGTTGCATGGAACCCCAGAACCACACTATGTCTCCATCTCTCTCCACTTCCTCCCTGGGAACCATCACTGTTACTGTTCTCAGGAAGTGGTGTCATCTCTGTGGCTGATCTGGGTCAACTGCTGGAGGCAGTAACTAAGCAGGGCCTGAAGAGGCCTCCTGCTAACAGTTCCTCTGGGTGAGGCTGGCATATTTTTAGCTTACGTGGTCTCCTTTTATCATAGCAGTAAGTGGGATACCATTTTTCCCCTTCCAGGAACTAACCAAATTATGTTCAGTCCCTAGGCTGTGTGCTTTATGCCATGATGTTTGGGGAAGGCCCTTATGATATGGTGTTCCAGAAGGGTGACAGTGTGGCCCTTGCTGTGCAGAATGAACTCAACATCCCACAGAGCCCCAGGTGAGCAGCAAGAGGGACACCAAGCGTTATAGACTCTTGCCTAGAGCCAGTCAAGTTGGAATCTCATCAGTCTAGGCGTCCTTCAGTCCTCTGCCCTCCACTTCCCACAGGCATTCTTCAGCCTTGCGACAGCTTTTGGCCTCTATGATGACTGTGGACCCCCAGCAGCGCCCTCACATTCCTGTCCTCCTGAGTCAGTTGGAGGCATTGCAGCCACCGATTTCAGGCCAGCACACCACCCAGATCTGATCAAAGCAATGGGCATGTTGGGAAGATGACCTTGAAGCAGCTTTCACTGGAACTCCTTCCGTTCAACCCAGGATGGCTCTTAACAGCTAGGGGCAAGAATGGTGGGTCCTTGTATTCTGCTCTCTTATCCCAGTACCTGGGCAAGGAGCCTAAGGCGAGGTGGGGGAAATATAACAGAAAATAGAGCTCAAAGCTGGACTGCTGGGCACACATCATGTTCTATTTCCAAATCCGGGAGCAGGAGAATATATAAAAAGGAGAATAAAGTGAAAAGACTCTATGTATTTTAGATCACTATGTCTGGAGGGAAAGAATAATGAACTGTCTGGTTGCCATTTCCAAGGGAATAGCCTGGGAAGAGGGACTGGTGTGTGATGTCAGAGGCAGATGTACTTGAGATTTGGCTGCTTGGCAGCAGACAGGTCTTTAAGCTTTCCTTAGTCAAAACCAGAGTCTCCAGCTTGAGCTGGTTTCTGCCTGTGCCAAGAAGTGAGACCAGGGTCCCCTTGAAAGCACACTCAACTAGTGTTCTGTCATTGTGAAGGTGGGTACCTTAGTCAGAACAACAGCCCGGCCCGGCAGGTTTGCCAAGTCTGTGACCTCGGGTGGAAGCACACCAGGTCTCCCCTCCTCAGCAGGACAAGGGGAGTGGAGTTGGCATCCATTTTTTCCAGTCTCCCCGACTAGCCCATACAGAGTTAATAATTGATGAGGCCAGTGGCCTGTGGCAGTATCCAGCAGGCACTTCCTGCCCCATTTGCTGAGTAAACAGGCACCCTGCCTTAGCTGGGCTTTAAACCAGTTCCTCAGGGAAGGGCACTGCGTCCCTGAATCACCAGGGAGGGGAGGCAAGGGCAGGGTTGGCTCTCCTGGAGAGTTTGAAGCTTCCTCCCCAAGCCATGCCCACCCCTACATGCTGACGTCAACCTGAGTCCTAGGGTGCCTATTAGCAAAGTGTAATTTTTCCCTTGGGTCCAGGCAGAGGCTGAGGCCAAAAGAAAGCACAAACAGAGGGGAGACGTCCTGACTTTTAATAGCAGCCCCAGAAAGCAAGATAGACAGCGAGCTATGCAAAGCTGTTAAAGGTGTGATGGCACAAACCGCCAGGAGATTGCCCTTGTTCCTGCCCATCCCCCAAGTTGGTGAGGTGGCTCTGTGCCCAGGAACTTTGGACCGGCCCAGCCCCCGTTCCCAAACCCTCAGTGTACAGCCACGCTTGGGCCAAGCCTTGCTTCTAAAGCTGTTGAGTGAAGGAGCAGCAGCAGCAGCAAGGGCAAGAGCAGCCCAGCCATCCGACACACAAGCTACCAGACACCAATTCCTGGTTGGAAAAGTGAAGGCTTGGATCTTGCAATAGTTTGTAGCTACCCAGAAAGGTCCAAGATTTGGTCCTCGTTTCTTTCCTGTCCTGGGTGTCCTTAGGACCTTACATCAAAGTCCTTAGGTTCATACTTTCTGGGGCTCAATACGGGCCCACCCTCAGCCGTGTAAGGCTAACAGGTCAAGAGTGGCAAACAGCGGGGAAGTAGCAGCCACGGCAGAAAGGGACTCGAGCAGTCACAAAGGGGACAAGAAACCGTGCAAGGAGACTTTATTTCGAAAGGATTTTGCAATGAACACAATGAAAATAGGCTCCAAGTATCTGTCTATTCTTCTCCCTCATCCTCATCCTCGTAGGAGTCGATGCCTACTTCCTCATAATCCTTTTCCAGGGCAGCCATATCCTCTCGAGCCTCAGAGAACTCACCCTCCTCCATGCCTTCACCCACATACCAGTGTACAAAAGCCCTCTTGGCATACATCAAGTCAAACTTGTGGTCCAGGCGGGCCCAGGCCTCAGCAATGGCGGTAGTGTTGCTCAGCATGCACACTGCACGCTGCACCTTGGCCAGGTCCCCCCCAGGCACCACGGTGGGTGGCTGGTAGTTGATACCAACCTTGAAGCCTGTGGGGCACCAGTCCACAAACTGGATGCTGCGCTTGGTCTTGATGGCAGCGATGGCAGCATTGACATCTTTGGGCACCACGTCTCCACGGTACAGCAGGCAGCAGGCCATGTACTTGCCATGCCGAGGGTCACACTTCACCATCTGGTTGGCAGGCTCAAAGCAGGCGTTGGTGATCTCTGCCACTGACAGCTGCTCATGGTAGGCCTTCTCTGCAGAGATGACTGGGGCATAGGTGGCCAGGGGGAAGTGGATGCGAGGGTAGGGCACCAGGTTGGTCTGGAACTCTGTCAGGTCCACATTGAGGGCCCCATCAAAGCGCAAGGAAGCTGTGATGGAGGAGACGATTTGGCTGATGAGGCGGTTGAGGTTGGTATAGGTTGGACGCTCGATATCCAGATTACGGCGGCAGATGTCATAGATAGCCTCGTTGTCTACCATGAAGGCACAGTCTGAGTGCTCCAAGGTGGTATGGGTGGTCAGGATGGAGTTATAGGGCTCCACTACAGCTGTGGACACTTGTGGAGCTGGGTAAATGGAGAACTCCAGCTTGGACTTCTTGCCATAGTCAACAGAAAGCCGCTCCATGAGCAGGGAAGTGAAGCCAGAGCCAGTGCCCCCTCCAAAACTGTGGAATACTAGGAAGCCCTGAAGTCCCGTGCACTGATCAGACTGAAAGGCAAGGAAGAAGAGCAATATAGGTAGGGGAGAGGCCCAAGGAATTTTCTTCTAGTTTTGTGAGACCTAAAGTATCTCAGAAGTTAGGGCAAAGACTGAACGCCCCCCTAAACAACACCGAATTCTAAAACAGCCAGAGATGATCCTGGAAATGGATCTGAAAACTTCCTGCACATTGAGTCCAAAGCTCCCTCCCTGCCAAGCTATAATCTCACCAGTTTGCGGATCCGGTCCAGCACGGGGTCGATGATCTCTTTCCCAATAGTATAATGGCCACGAGCATAGTTGTTGGCTGCATCTTCTTTCCCAGTGATAAGCTGCTCTGGGTGGAAGAGCTGGCGGTATGGGCCGTTTCGGATCTCATCTGAAAGACCATACATCACACATTGCTGAGACAAAAACCACAAGGCTATGCTCAGCAGAGACCCTCCTCCCCACCCTCAGAGTGGCAACTAAAGCCAGATACATAGAACTAGCTTATCCTGCCAGCCTGGGGCCAGCATCCATCTTCATCATCAAATGAAGTCAAGGGGCTTCAAGATCACAAAAACCCAGTCTAGACACTTGAAGAGACACTCTCGACCTTCCTCAAGAGTGCATCCTCACCTCCATCCCCTCCCCACTCCCCCACCCCCCACCCCACCCCCACTCACCAATTACGGTAGGTTCCAGATCCACAAAGACGGCCCGAGGCACGTGTTTCCCAGCTCCAGTTTCACAGAAGAAGGTGGTGAAGGAGTCATCTCCTCCACCAATGGTCTTATCACTAGGCATCTGCCCATCAGGCTGAATCCCATGTTCCAAACAGTAGAGCTCCCAGCAGGCATTGCCCATCTGGACACCTGCCTGCCCCACATGAACTGAAATGCATTCACGCTGAGGGATACAGAGAAGGTCACAGCATGAGAGCACATCCACAACTCCCCCCTTCAGGAGGTTCTCTCCTGGCCTGGCACCTATTAGCTAGGATCACTCAATTGGTAAAAATACAGTAAGGTTGGAGCTGACAGAGGTCAGAAGCAGCTGGAAGCCTCTCCAGTCTCAACACAGGGCTCCCCAGACTGGAGGCATCCATCCAGTAGGGCAGACCGACCCCTTAGCCTAGTTCTCAGTAGAGAATTTATCAAGTGAGAGCTGTATAATCCTGTTACATCCACAGGACACAGAGAGGACAGAGGGCATGCACACATGACAGGCAGAGCTGTGGTAACTATAACAGGGTATATGTGTGTGTGTGAGAGAGAGAGACAGAGAGACAGAGAGAGACAGAGAGACAGAGACAGAGAGAGACAGAGAGACAGAGACAGAGAGAGACAGAGACAGACAGAGACAGAGAGAGACAGAGAGAGAGAGACAGAGAGAGAGAGACAGAGAGAGAGAGACAGAGAGAGAGAGACAGAGAGAGAGAGACAGAGAGAGAGAGACAGAGAGAGACAGAGACAGAGAAGACAGAGACAGAGAAGACAGAGACAGAGAGACACACAGGCTTTCCAGCTGCTTCCAATCCATGCAGCTTCTAAAATATGTTTACAGTTTATAGCCAGCACCCTACTTGTTTAATCTTTGCATTGAAGATGAACTGAAATTTCCGACAACCTTCTCCCCTTCTTTCCTGTGGGCAAAGAGGTGTCTCAACCTTCCATCTGGTATCAGCTGACCCATTCTGGCCATCAGGATGCGGTAACCCCCACCACCTTTAAATCCCATCTGGCCTTGGGGAATCAATCCCATCTGCCTCCTCTCCCCACCTCCACCCCCACACTCTGCACGGCTTCACCACCTCCATCCTCCGCCTCAGCCTGCACCGAAATAGCAGCAATAATGCGGGTAAGCGCTGACGGCAGGTGCAGGCAATACAGGTATGCTGGCGCTCTGGCAGCCCGAGGCTCCGGCCAGGCAGTCCATAATTTAACCCCCCCGCAGCACCCTTCCCACAACCAAATGGCCAGGGGGTGGGGGTGTATGCAATTTCTAAGTACCCAGAAAAGGAAGCGGAACCTGCTAGGAGGCTCTTGAGGAAACCCGCCTTGCCTCTCGCACCAGGCAAGGGGAGAGCCATCTGTACCTGGGCCCTACGTCTAGCTTTCCTGCTGGAGTTTTTCCAGTTACTTCCCAGCCGAAAGCCCGGATTGGGTTTCTGCCCCCGCTCCGGGGCTATAAATACAACCCCCTACGTGCACCTCTTTCCCCTCCCCCTGCCAACCTGGCCTCGGCCGGGGCTGTCGATCAGCGCCAGCTGTCTCTGCCCGTCCTCCAAGCACCCATGCTCCCGTAGGAGGGGCCCGCTGGCCTCCCGAGGCCAAACCCCATTCCCGCCACCCCTCCTGGCTCAGAAGGGGGTGCTGAGTCACGTATGGGGGTGTAAGTGGGAAGGAGGCACACAGAGGAAGTCGGGGTGCGGTACTAAGTAACCCCTTCTACCAACCGGCGCCAAGCACGTGTTCGGTCAGTTCCAGGGACTCGGGGGGATAGATAGATGGGTGGCGGGGGCAGCCAAGCAGGTCTTCCGCCGCCCGAGGAGAGGGCTGGGTGCAGGACCGCGTGACTCCCCTTAGGAGGGTTGGGGCACAAGACGCTTGGTACGGCAGGAGGGCAGCACAGTAGGGCCCCTCTCTGCCAGTGAAGAAGCATCCTCCCCGGTCCCCAGACTCTGAAGGTGGACAACACACTAGGCCAAAGTCACCAGGAGGGGTGGGGGGGAAGTGCAAAACTCTTGCATCTCCCGGAGACTCGGAATGCTAAGTGAAGGGTCCCCAGCATCTCTAGAGGAAGTTTCCCAAAGGAGCGGGGCATTTACAGGACCAGACAGATGCTGGTGGGGCCTCACTCACCATGATGAATCTGGGCTGTGCGTCTCACGTAGAGTCAGGGTCACGGGTCTCGGTGAGATCTGCGGAGCTGCAGTGCCGCACCACTCTTATAGGCAGGAGGCGGGACGCGCGCGCTCGGCCCGCCCACCATGGGGCGGGGCGGTCTAAAGACCCCACCCCGTCAGGGTAGGTGGCCCCCAGGAATGAAGCCAAGTCTGATCCCTCCCCTTGCCGCGCCGGATTCCCTCACCTGTCGGGTTTGGGTTAGGAGCAGCGGCCCATTTTCGTTTCTAGTTTTGAGCGGACGCCACGGATTCCGAAGATCCGAAGCAGGGACGCAGGGTGCGGTGTCAGGGCGTGTCTTGACGGCACCTGCGTCATGTGGACGCCCATGGTGCAGGTGTTCCGATTGAGGGTGAACGAGGTTCAAACAATCCTTCAGAAGCGGCTGTCCCTGGCCTTCTCCGCTGTCCTCCCAGCCACGCCACCCCGGAGCCTCGGGAGGGCTGGGTTGCTGGGGCTGGTCGCCCGAGACCCCCTTACTGCAGACCGCCGCCTGCTGGTCCCCGGCCGAGACGGCAGGCTTTCGCCCACACCTGTGGGAGGCCGAGGACCGAGAACTACAGAGCCTGAGCCCCAGGGTGCCGATCCTGTAGACTGTCCGGCAGCGCCAAGCCGCGCAGCCGATCTGTGAGAGCCGACGCGAGAATCTGCCACCTCTCGCCGGTCAGCGGCTCCGTCATTAGCGCCGTCACTATTAGTGTGCTCGCCGCGACCGCCTGACCGCTGCTGCGGAGCACAAAACCCAGAGCCCCCGGGATAGCATCCAGGCGGCCCTATGCAACTTTGGGCAAGTGACTTGGCTCCACTGAGTTCTTGGCGTTAACAGCTGAAGAGATTCCTCCTTTTTACGTTTCATTTCCGTTTTGTTTTGACAGGCCTTTCTAAAAGTTCTTTCTGCTTTCTCAGACTTACATTACTCTCGCAGAGAAAAATCCATCAGACAGCCCAGGTGCTGGTTGTCATGACCTTAAGAAACCTGATCCCCAGGTTAGTCACTTGGAAAAGATTCACCGGCCTTTCTTCCTATCCTCGTCTTAGGGACAGGGCTGTTTGACAACATAACACAATACCATAAAATATACAGTGATGGCAACTTTCCACCAACAAAGTAGCTAGTGGCATTTGACTTAGAGAAGATAGAAAAGAATACAATAAATTTGACAAACTCTCTTCCCAGTCCTTGCCATCTGGTTAGAATTAAGGTTCATCAGGAGAGCCTGAAGGTGTATTCATTTGGTAGCATGCTTGTCCATCATTGTGAAGTCCTGGGTTCAATCCCTAGCATGGGGGGGGGTTGGAAGGGGGGGTGCTCATTCATAAAATGAAAATGAGCAAGGGCATTTAGGGCATTAGGCTGCTTCCAAACATGAGTCATGGTCTGGTCAGAGGAAAGAGCCTTGATGATCACAGGACTCAGTGACCATGTCGCAGCCTTCTCTTGTTTCCTTGTGTAGCCACCCAGCAGAAGGGATATAAAAGATCTGAGGTATCAGGCAAAACTCTAAACTTGTTCGACCTTCGGATGTAGCTCTTCATTTGTAAAAACTGAGGTAACCATTTCAGTTGTGGGTGCCAGACAAGTGCAGAGCAATGTATAAGGAACCACCTGGATTCTCATAGCTTCCATTCACACTTGTCTTAGTATCTGTACTGTGTACCACTCTAGTTGTTTGTGAACCTGTCTTATATACCTGAAGGCAAGGGCTATGTTGCATCATTCTGTTTGTTTGTTCATTTTTTTTTTTTTAGTCCTTGATTCTTAGCATGGTACTTAGAACATTTGCTAAGCATGCATTCATTCAATAATCCATTATACTTCAGAGATGGGGCTGCATCTGAACAGCTGAGAGGCCCAAGTCCCTCTCAGAAATGTTGCATTCTGCTGGGGGTATAGCTTGGAGGTAGAGTGCTTGCTTAACATGTGCAAGGCCCTAGGTTCAGCCCCCAGTACTGCAAAACGCAAACAAACAAAAGAAGAAAGGTTTTATTTGGACTTCGTGGTGCTAGCATATGAAAAGATCAAGGAGTTTTGGGCTGCAGTATCCTGCAAGTCCCCTCTATGTTAGAAGAGTCGCTAGGACTCACAGATTTTTCACATAATGTGCTCATGGCCTCGGTTGACAGCAGTTATGTGGTAATGATGGGCAACTGGGTCAGAAGGGGAAAGACACAGGGGTCTGGGGAAGTCTATGCTTTTTATCTTCCATCAGGGTTCATGCAAAGCATGCTCTTCTTTCAACATAGGAAAACCAGTAACATTTCCCTGCAATATTTCTGGTCATGTGCGAGGAGCCAATGAAGGCCTGAGGGAACGTGTGAAGAGTGAATGACACCCTGAGTGCATGTGTACTTTTTTATTTTTTATAATTTATTTATTTGTATTTTATGTACATTGATGTTTTGCCCACATGTATGTCTGGGTGAGGGTGTTGGATCCCCTGGAACAGGAGCTACAGACAGTTGTGAGCTGCTATGTGGGTGCTGGGAATTGAACCCGGGTCCTCTGGAAGAGCAGCCACTGCTCTTAACCAACTTGCCATCTCTCTAGCCCATGTATGTGTATTTTTGACATGGGCACAGCCATGTCAAGAACCAACACCTTAGACCCATGGGAAAGCACCAAAGCATTCTTCAGTTATGCTCAGAATGGCAAAGCCTTCCTCTGATCCAAGCATGAATGTTTATGAACTCCCAGTACTAAGGTAGATTTGACACCATTGGTCAGTATATGCAAAAGCTAGCAGCTACAGCTTCCCTGGATGTTTATAACCTGAGAGTGCTTCCTTACAGAGACTTAATTTCTCTCCCATGCTATGCATAATAAATGTGTTAATTCTAGTTGTTTCAGTAATTAGTAGGTCTCCATCAGAGTGCTCATAGTCCACCTGACCCTAGCTTTTCTGTTTATATGTCTGTCTGTCTTCCTTAATTTGACTCAGTCAGGTTTCTATACCCAAGCCTCAAGGGATACAGTGCCCATGTAAACCCACTGGAGACTCAGTAGCTGAGATTTTCCCAAAGGCTTGCCCCATAAGCACCTCTGCCTAGCACTTACCAAAATGTTAGAATCATAGTGGAAAGTGGGTATTTGGCACAAACCATATTGCTTACGCAGTCTATGTACAGTGATCGATCCATATCCACTCACTGTTGACTGTGAATGCTGAGAACCAGAGTCCCGGGTGCTAGATGAGGGTCAGCCTTCCAAGCAGACCTGTCTCCTTTGCTAAGTCTTTTCTGCAGTCATATGAAATCCCAGGTGTCAAATCTACCTTAGTACCGGGAGTTCTTTCCAGACCTGTGTTCACATTTAACTACTGCGGTAGGCAGAGAATAATGCCCCCCTCCCATATCCGCTTTCCAATCCCTGCAGCCTGTGACTATGTTACTTCATGGCCTACTTACATTATTATTATTATTATTATTATTATTATTATTATTATTATTATTATTGACAGGATCTCCTTATGTAGTCCAGACTGACCTTGAACCCATGATCTTCTAGCTTCAGACTCCTCAGTGCTAGGATTCCATGTGTGCACCAGCACAACCAGCTAAGGTTTTCAACTTTGGGATTGTTGAATGCTCATTGTATAAGTATTGTAACATTTGTAGGGGTTTACAGAAAGAACAGAATTACATTGCATGCTCACACAATGGTGAAGGAAAAAAAAACTCATTACTCCTCCCCCTCCATCTCTGACTCTCTCTGTCTCTCTGTCTCTCTGTCTCTCTGTCTCTCTCTCTCTCTCTCTCTCTCTCTCTCTCTCTCTCTCTCGAGACAAGAATACAGGTGTATGCCTATCCTTCCTTCCTGCTCTTTCATTAGAATATTTTTCTTGGGCTGCAAGTAATGGAATGCATGTCTACTCATGGATTAAACAATGCAGATATTCATTACCCTGTTAGAAGTCAGAGTAGGGCCGACCCAAGGTTCATTCAATGGTATCACCCATAACTTCAGTATTTCCAGCTTTCTCCTCTGGCGTCCTCAGTAGGCTGATGACGTCTTCCCTCTTGATCACAAAATGGCTGCTGCAGTTCAAAGTATCATGGCCTGATATGACACTGTCTTAAGGCAGGGAAGAAGAAAGGTTTCTTGCATCTCTTTTCATCTGAGAGAAAAACTTTTCCTTAAGGCAAACCCCCTGCAAGAAAACAGAAAGGGAAGGGATGAGGAGGGACAGACACATTAGCAGACATCCTTATGTCTCACTAGCCCATTCCACAACCAACTTCAGCGGCGTGGGGGGCGGGGGAGGGAGATCTAGAGTGAGCTAGAGTCACCCCTTGGTCTGAGCAACTGGAGAGGTGAGTACTTAAAGAAAATCTGGCTGACGAGTCGAGACAGGGCAGGCGAGGCTGTTTAGGAGAGCTGCTGTACCCAGCCTTAGCAGGTAGCTGCTCTCACTGCCCTCCTAAAGGCTGCATCTTTGGTCCAAGCCATGCTCCCCTCTTTCTGCGTGCCCGAAGTCACCTCCCAGCCAGTGTTGTGGTCTACTTTGAGCTCTCCACACTTTGGTCTCTCCAAAACACAAACCTGCCCCCCAAAACACAAACCCCACAGAATAAGAAGGAAAATGTATTATATATACATATATGTATATATAATACAGGTAAAAGTAAAAACCCAGAGGCAAAAAACAGATGGGATAATTTAAGAAAAGCTGGCTAGAAACAAGCCAAGCTAAAGCCAGGCATTCATAAGAAAGAATAAGCCTCCATGTTTATTTATTTGGGAGCTGGATGACGGCCCCCCAAAAAAGCAAAAGAATAAAAAACAAACAAACAAAAAAACTACAGCACACATCTGTAATCCCAGCATTGGGGAGGCTGAGGTAGGAGAGGAAATTTGAGGCCAGCTTTGGTTATGTAGTGAGTTTCAGGACAGCCTTGGGTGACAGAGCAAAACAACAAAAAGGAAAGAAAAGAAGACCTCGTCTCAACACAAAACAAAGCCCAACCCCCTCAGCATCTTTAAACTGTCTTGTATGATATCCATCTGACATTTGGATAGTAGAGTTGGTGATGACTAGGTCAATTCTGAGACATCTAGGTCCAAAGTCTGGAAGAAGTTTAAAGGCTATACAAGT